GATTCCTGATCCTCATTTTCATGAAGAAGTTCAGGATGATGCAACCATGGAAGAGAAGAAAGAGGCGGTGGAGAAAATAAAAGAGGTCAGAGAGGATGATGAAGAGAAGAAATTGGAGGCTGAAATCCAAGAATCTTTTCCATCTGAAGTAGTTGTTGAAAAGGATACAACAAAAGTTGACAATACCTATGAGTTGCACACTTCACCTTTGAAGTTGCTTGGAGAGCTTACAGGAGATCCAGGTATTGGCTTTTATCAACTACGCTTCAGGGAAACTCACGCAAGATTGCTGAATCATGTTTGTTTCAGAAAAGGTGAGATTTCCCATCCTCATTATCAGTCAAGGATCAACGAGAATGATTTTGTTCGATCCATTCGAAATGTCTGTCCAGTACCTCCACCTGATTGTTATGAACATGAACCAGAGCATGATTTGAAGAGATTCTTTATCAATGATGATCGCATCATTTATTTGGATGGCAAGTATCAGGTCGATCCAAAGGCCCTTGAAAGGGCAGGTCATGCTCGAGAAGAATTGGAGGATACGAAAAAGGAACTCAAGAAGGAACTGGAATCATATGGTCCCAAGGGACCCAGTTGGGACTTTGTCACCTTCTATGAAGAGCTGTGCAGAAGGTTCCTCAAGGGAAGAATAGAAGAACCATATGGAACTAACTTATTGGCCAGCTCAGAGTCCTTGACATTTTTATCCTGGAACTATGGCAACATGGTTCGTGGTCAGAAGTACACCACACCAAGGTTTCTCCAAGGACTTGATGGTGCAATGAAGCCACGCAAGCAGAGTGCCATGTCACTTCAATATGAGCAATTTGAAAACAATCTTTTCTTCAACATGCTCTTCTTTTTACGTGCACATGTCGTGATTCTCCAGGAGGCTCATCTTCTTGTTCCTGCCAAGGAATTTATTGAGCAAAAGAATTGGACAGTTTGTTTCAATGATTGGGAGAATCTTGCAGTGATGGCTAGACTAGCACCAGGTGGATATGTCAAGATCATTGCTGGACATGATCAAGAACGTGGTCACTGTCAACAGCGTGATGTAACTTGGGATATCTACGAGATTTGTTTTGGAGAAACAAGGCCTCGTCAAGATTTCAAGGATGCAGACTTTGAATTTGATGACTATGGCCCTGAGGACAAGCGTGTTCCACTTACTCGAGCGAACATGCATACCATCAGAGTCTGTAATTATCATGTTGATACACACCGTGCTGTGGATGCCCACCTACTGACAGGAGAACAGACAGCATTGATGCTTTACGAGTGTTTTGTCCATGAGGTGGACATCATTTCTGGTGATGCAAATAGTTTGGCCTACAGAATGTCTGGGTACAAAAGGCAGCCAATGGCTAACTACTATTACAGCACCATGCAGCATTGGATCCGCAGGTTTTCAGAAGCTCGTGTAAAGGCAGATCTTGGTATCAAAGCACCTATTCCCAGAACATTTTACAGTTCAACTTCACAGGTCCTCAAGAAGTGTGAAGTTTACTTTGATAAACTCTGGGAAGAATATTCTACTGTTGAAAAAGAAGAATACCAAGGATCACAGCTTGGCGATACATGTTTGTCTACCATTGTTGAATGGGGTCATTCAATGAGTGAAGAGGAATATGAAAATTCCACAGTGAGTACGAAGGAGTTCATCTGTAATTTTTCAGAGAACTTTGCTATGATTGACACAGAGGTTATGTGCTCAAGGCCCACTGACGAGGACAGTCATGGTCCAATGTTTATTTCACTCAGACCAGCTTCCCTTTCATCTGGAGACAGAAGACAGTATCGCATGGGAGCAACGCTTCAGGAGGCAAAACTGCGGAGGAAGGAGAAACAGAAAGAGAATAAAAGGAAAGGAAGGCCGCCAACTTCTGGTCAAGCAGCTTCATCGTCTGCAGCGGTATAATTCCTGAGTGAAGGCTGAGATTTAAATGATGGCTAGGAAGTGAAGAGACTTCTGATTACAGTTGATACTTTGCTTCCAGGCTTGACTTTAAGTTGCCAGGCTGAAGTTTTAATAAATTCTGGTTTGCAATGAGGAGAAACTTTTTATCAAAGAAGATACTCCTGCATTCCAGGTTTATACGCTTTAGCATGTGGATAGGTATGGACAGTTTTACAGAACTGATGATATCTATCACCACCGCTTTTATGAAGTGACCTCTAATGGACAACCAGTCATGGTTGATGATTAAGTCATTTCATGATTTGCAATTGTAGTGCAAGATTTTTTTTGTACATACATTTGCCGGTATCTCCTTCTTGTGTTTTTGGTGTCAATGAAAGAAAGAGTCCTTTTGATGCAGTTTATGAAAGCGGCCGAGACCACTTTTCGAGAAGACCATTCCTCGGACCGAGAGTTGACGCTCCTTGCATTTTGCAAGGCATATTAATTCATTGCATTTGTGCGGTCTTGAATCTTTAGTTCTTTCGTGATGCGAGTGTCGTTTACTGCTTTTATAGGTCTCTGTGTAAGAAGCCGCTTTCCCTTTTTAGTTTGATTTAGCTCAGGCCATAAAGAGCTAGTGAGCGCCGGTACATGGTATCTCCGCCTGCGAAAAGTACAGTCTCCAGCCGAGGTACATTATCGATTTGATTTTGTACTTGAGGTGAGTCAGCTATTGCTCCCTCACTGTATTTAGTAGCTATGAGATTACCTTCTCTGAAGTGTGAAACACACCGGATTAGGTAAGTACATGGCACCGTAGTTTTCTTTTAAGTTGTCAGAGCTAGCTGGACTGTTTTAGCCTTACGGTAGAAAAATAGTGTGCGACATACGCAATAGGCAGGAGTGGACATGAATTTTGTGCCTGCTGAAATGTAGAGGCCTACTTGTACAGGTTCCACTCCAGTGGCCTATCTAGTGTGTCCATGCTTGACTGCCATAAGGCTCAAGAGAGGGTCAATGGACCTAAAGAGCAAGAGGATAAGACTCTGCGCATAAAAGACACTAGCGGTCTGCACCTCTACCGTGTACGCCCTAGTCACTCTTTCACCCCCCCCCCCCCCCCCCCCGCGGTTCAACTCCCAGCTGCGCCGTGTAGGGGGTTGGTTGAACGTGTGAACGTGGTTGGTTGGGTGTAACGGTGGCTTGGTGTAAAGGGTGCTGCTGCTGCTGCTGCCGCTCTGCTGCTTGCTGCTGCTGTTTGCTGCTGCCGCTGGTTGCCGCTTTTGTAGCTGCTGCTTTGCTACTTGTTGCGGCTTGGTGCTGCTGCTGCTGTTGCTGACGACGCCGCTGCTACTGCTGCTTGCTGCTGCTGCTTGCTGCTTGCTGCCGGTGGTGCTGCTGCTGCTGCGGCTTGATGCTGCGCTGCTGCTGCGTGGTGCTGCTGGCTGGCTGCTGGTTGGTGGTTGCTGCTGGCTGCTGGCTGCAGGCGGCTGCTGCTGCTGCTGCTGGCTGCTGCTTGCTGCATAGGACTTGTACTTCACCGTTACAAGTTGTTTACCCCTATTTCTAACCTAATGCATGCATAAGCGGGTGGTAAATTTACCCCCCAGGCTTGCTATAACCATACACCGGCTATTTCCTCAAGACACTCTATTCTTGATACCTTTTACCAGTGCTTCTCCTACACTACGGACGCCCTAGTGTATGCACAGTCCTTGTGATGCTTACCCCTCGTTCCGGCTCAAGGCATACATAAGCGGGGGGTAAATTTACCCCCCAGATTTGCCATAACCATAAGCCGGCTATTTCCTCAAGACACTCTACTCCTTCTACCTTTTACCCGTGCTTATCCTACACTACGGACGCCCTAGTGTATGCACAGTCCTTGTGATGCCAGAAATGCTTACCCCTCTTTCCAGCGCAAGGCATACATAAGCGGGGGGTAAATTTACCCCCCAGATTTGCAATAACCATACACCGGCTATTTCCTCAAGACACTCTATTCCATATACTTTTTACCCGTGCTTCTCCTACACTACGGACGCCCTAGTGTATGTACAGTCCGTATGATGTCAGAAATGCTTACCCCTCTTTCCGACTCAAGGCATACAAAAGCGGAGGGTAAATTTACCCCCCAGATTTGCCGATCACGCATCTTCGTGCCTGCCAACGAGTGCACCCCGGTTGTTCCAATGTACCCTTCCCAGTCAGCGATGTCACATTTACATTCTTTAGCGCAAAGTATGTACATAGCAACCTTCCTCCCAAAACATGTCATCCCTACATGCTTTGCCGACTATGTAACTAGTACATCCGGTGCGATTCGGCTAGCTTTCGACCTCTACCCCTGGCCTCAAGTTCTGTTCGTCGGGGGGGGGGGGGCAACCCCCCCTGGATCAAATCCCCCCTGCGCCGTTCACGCCGTCATGGACTTCTACCAGGGTTGCTTGTGATTGCCTGCTACCTTTCGTTCACCCCCTCCTCTCTCAAGTGAAATTGATCAAGCAGCAGGCCGTGTGCGCCGCTGTACCGTGTGAACGCCCAGCAGAGGTACACTTTGTGGCAGGGTGGTGGGGGTGGTGGCTACTCGGAGATCTTCTCAGTGCAGCAGATGATCAGTTGCAGCGTTGAGGCCGATGGCTGCGGTGGTGGCAACCCCGTCAACGGAGCCGCGGCTGCAAGGCAATGCAAGACACGTGGCCAAATGCCACAAAGACACGCAAGGCAAGTACATGTTGGATACGAGCCGGATTTGCCAAGGGTTGTGACATGTTGTGATACAAATATAGGATAATTATGGAAAATTATATATAATTGTCATATCACATACATCTTGGAGGCTCTGGCAGAAGGAGTTTGAAGTTTATATGCAGGTAGTGAGGCCACTTGGGACCAGCGCCCAGGATTGATTTTTAGACATGGGATAAGCCAAGGAGGCAGTGGGACATGGTGGGACTTATGAACCGAGTCGATGAGACGCACTCAGTTTCAAATGTCTCAGTAGTGGCAAGAAGTAGATGACATTAGATAACACGAACCTGAAATCACAGTCGATGAGCTGCACGCTTCTGTTAACCTAGGTTACAACTATGTGATGAAGAGTCAGGTTGGCTTGGTCCAGGAGGCCTTTTGGCCGTATGAGGGAGGCTACTTGCCCGAGGAGCGATGCGATTACAAGTATTGCACCAAGCCCTGCCACAAGAACCTCACGGATGCTGCAACCTACCAGCACATTATAGGACCCATCGGTCGTGTGCGAGGAGCTCTTTGGGCAACCCCGCTTTGCGATCCTGGCAGCAACTGTCACTTGCAAAACTGTTTGCAGCATGTATCGCTTTTTTCTTTTCTTAAGACTCTTTTTAACCATAGGGCTGACAAGGTACGACCGGATCCCTAGGGTAAGACATGTTTTCAATGTTTTCCTGTTCTATGATCATGTGTTTCTTTCGCTTCTTTCGCTTCCGCTCTTCCTTGACTGAGCGGACCTCGCGAAATCGTTTTGCCAAACGGATTCTGGGGTCGCGGACGCTCGAGGGGGTTTAATATGTCATCGTTTGTTGTTCTTTTGGGTCGCTTTAGCACAAGAGTTGGGTTGGAGCGAGGGTTCCTCCAGTTTCTCGAGGTGACAACCAGAATTTGGAAAGCTTGAGACGCACCCTGGTGCAGCTTGGCCCCGTCGCAGTTGCTGTGAACTCCAAGAATTGGTTCCACTACGCAGGTGGGGTTTTGTCATACGATGCGTGTGGCGGAAGCACTTGGAATGATTTGGATCATGCAGCACAACTGACGGGCTACAACACCACTGGAGAGAAGCCGCACTGGATTGTAAGGAACCAATGGTCAACCACTTGGGGTGAAAACGGCTACATCCATTTGGAGTTTGGGAGGAACACCTGTGGGATCGCAAACATGGCCACAGCACCTTGCCTGCGTTGCCTGCTATGAAGACCACCATCGTACACACACATTGGTCTTCAGTCGTACGACTCATGACATGACAGACATGACAAAAGACTTATTTCTTCCGTGTTCATTTGAGACCTTGCTAACTTGGTCATGAGCGCCTGCTGCCTAGGTACCTTTGGTGGATGGCATGCCCGATCTCAAAGACATGCAAACTGTCCAGATGCTTCAGACATCACAAGCTGCAGAGGCAGCTGAAGCAACTAGTAGATCGGCTCCTTTCTTCCAATTGTATCGCCAGGCAGTTGGGGAAGCGCCGAGCCTTTAACCTGATCCGCCGAAAATTGGCCAAAAAGTGTGATGCAGTGAGGCTGCCACGCTGGGGACTCATGGACCTCATAGGCAGGTCAGCTTCAGACTCAGGGTGTGACAAGTGGCCAGGTGCTTTCTACCACCCGCATCCGGTCACATCCCTGCCCTTTTCAATCGCATGCAATTTCTTCATTTTGGATGCCCACAGATCCTTAGGAGTCGGTATTGGTCAGTGTGTCAGGCCAGCGCCATAGATTTTATAGAGGTTTTTATCCCAAGAGAAGCCCTTCAAGCACTTGCTTTGCCAGGAGCAAAAGCCCATGCCTCGGACGTTTGTTTCTGAAGTTGCAGGGGAAAGAGATGCAAGGGTAAGAACATCTTCGGGATAGATAGAATAGAACCCAGATAGAACCTAATTGCCAGCATCGGGAGGTACTCAAAGCTCAACCACTACCACTACTCAAAGCTCCTTTGGAACAGTGTTTGATCCACTCAGGGGCATGTTGCTAAGATGCTTTTAGGTCTGAATTTGGCCCGTCACAAGGGGCTTGGTGCCAGCATGACAGCTCGATGTTTGCTTTGTGTGTTGACAGATCCAGCCATTGGGTGGTACAGGTTCTACTTTCTGACACCTGCAGCCTGAGGGAGAGAGAGGCGGCCCTTTTCGCAGAAGAAAACGGAGAAGACTTCGTGGATGAAGAAGAGGAGGAGCCACAGGTTTGTACAAAACAGAGGGTCAAGGAGGAAGAAGGGGATTGACTCGGTCAACCCGAGTGTAGACTTTATAGACTTGGTGAGGGTGCCTCTAATTGTAGGGCTTTGTCATCGCACCTACTGGTCTCAGCACCTTTGGCTGCTCCGTAGGGCGTAGGGTTTTTGCGGCATTCGCGGGCGAATGAAGCTAGTAGCAGGGGCATCGCTTCTATAGTAGCTTCTAGGTATACTAAGTATACTAGTTACTAGTAGTAATGAATGAACTTGTTACTAGTTGGTCACCACCAGTCCTTTCATCAAGCACGTATGTTTGGCTTGTGTGGGTCTCCAATGTGGCCAACCTCCAGCAAGACAATGACGCTGAAGCAATCCTTGCTAGGAATCGCCGTCCCAAACTTTGGCCTTGTTTCTCTTAGTTCATCATGACTTCTCAAGTGCTTTGCAGGAGTTTGAGCCGCCTGAGGAAATGAAGAAAGAGCCACCACCTCCAGACGTTGTGATCTCAGGGCACGAGGAGCTTTGAGTTGAAATCAATTTTGACGGGTGGAACAGGCGCTCATGGGAGCACGCTCCTAGTAGCGATGCCCTTTGTTCCTAGTAGCTTCTTGCTCCCAGTAGTAAGGCCAGGAGCCCCTAGTAGCGTCAGTCGCGTGCCAATGTCCGACTGAGTAGTGCCGTTCGAAGTTCTTTCTGGTATTCAGACATCATGATCCAATCCGACAGGGGCAACATCCACGCACCGCTGGTGTTAGGTCAAGGATGATGGTCAGGACCTCTATGGTTCAGCTGATGCCGACAAGAAGTTGGAAGAATTGCAAGTACTGCCAGCTTCCTTTTTGAAACGAACTGTTCGATTTTAAAGGGCTTAACGGCTTAACGCTACATCATTTCTGGCAAGAAGATTATTCCGGCACTCGTGTGCCAGGCAGATACCTCCGAGAAAGATACGGACAAGAAAAAGAAAGATAAGAAGAAGAAGGACAAAGAATCCGAATGAATCCTGCGACGAATCTGAATTGTTGCTAGTGCTTGACTCGTCGATCGAATCAGTGAGTGAGGGCGTGCCCATGGTGCCCTCTCACGAGCTTTCCTTGAGCCCAGTTGTGGTCTCAAGGTGGTTGGGCCTTTCTTGGAGACTGCCTTTGGATACGACAAATTCACCTGTCACAGTTGACCACCAAGGGCTCCAAAATGTCCATTTGTCCATGTGGTGAAGTGCGGCTTAGATTATCGTAGATTATTTTGTCTCAAAATCATTGAAGTTGTGCAATTCGTTCAAGTGTTGGGTAGCGACCAAGAAAGGCCAGTGCCACATGTTAGTGAGTTAGTGATCTCTGTGGGAAACAACATGGTACAAACATCTATCGTGAATGCCTATCAACATGCACAAAATCATCTATCCTGCGATCCCTTCATGATCGCTCCCTTGTGTCTTGTGTTTTTGAGACTTTCAGCTTTCATGGAATTGTGTCCCGTGTGTCATGTGTCCATCATGCGGCCTTCGTCGAATGACTCTTGCTCGACACATGGCAGACTCTTTTTGGTGCGGAAAACGGCCCCAGTGGCCTCAGTGCGATGGTCCAATGGATAATCATTCTTGTTTCCTTACAGCGGTCCCGCTTTCGGCAAGCTTACGTGGAGAACGGTGGTGGGAGTGCTGCTTGCCACAAGATCTCTTGCAAACTAACAAGCAAACATGTTGTTTGGACTTGTTTGGACATAAGTTGATGACATGAAAGGCACTGTTAGGCAAGTCCCGCGACACCTCCACAAGGACATCTTGATGCCGCAGTAGCAGAAAAGAGGATCAGCATTTGACTGCACTTTCTCGCACATGCGCAGGGGGTTTACATCAAGAGAGTGACATGGCATACACAGTTTTATGTGCTGAGGCCCCGACCGGCCAATCCAAATCCATTTGTTAGACATTCGGTCATCGATCATCTTAGGACTGGCTACACATTGAATCTTTCAGAAATCTTTTGAGCGGTTCACGTTCGGGCCTTACCTCGGTGCTCTTGTTCAGAACTAGAACACACTGATAGCGATGGCCCCCAACCTAGAAGCGATGGCCTGCGGCTTTAACTCATGTCAAGCTTACTTGCTGCCTCTCCGTGTTTGTGTTGTTGCTTTCTTCTCAGCAAGCCGCTTTGGTACTGCTCACGACTAACAGAAGTTAGCGGTCAAGAACGTGACCTGAAGTCGACGAAAAGCAATGTGAAGAATCTTTGGATAGCTCTGTAGTCATCGAACAGTGGGACTAGTGCAAATGGGAAAACTCTCACGGGGACTAGTGCCCCCTGCCCTGTGGTTTGTAAACTCTCCGCCTGTAACAGCGGTTTACATACACATACACACCCACGAAAACAGGTAAACGAAAAACCTTATTTGAACAGAACATGTAGTTTTACTGTGTTCGTGCAAGATTCGCCCAAGGCCGGCGCAAGGATAGTTTTCGGGAAAAGGCATTTTGAACAACCTCCAAATGTTGTCTCAAGCAACTGGAAAACAAATGAAACCAGAAGCAACGACGCTACTAGGGGCTCCTGGCCTTACTACTGGGAGCAAGGACGCTACTAGTAACAAAGGGCATCGCTACTAGGACGCGACTAGGGGCTGATGTATCGACTGGTCTGAGGCCAAAACCTCCCAGTCTTTGAGGCCTTCGTCGTTTTGGAAGTTCGTGGAGGTTGAGGATGTGACGATCTCTGTCGGGCTGGGTGTTTGACTTCCAAGCCCTTTGCGGCAACTGAAAGGTGTGGCGGAAGCAGGCAAACACGAAATGGCACCATGACAGAGTTACGAGCTTCTTGTTCCTAGTACTAATGCCAGGAGCTACTTGTACCTTGCTCCTAGTAGAAATGCCCTTGTTACTAGTAGCTTCTTGATCTGCGGATTCTGGGAGGTTCCTTCTTTTGTTCACTCCAAAGGGAGGGTCTGAGAGGGTGTCCCTCATGTTGATCGACTTGTCAAAGGGCGGTCCAACGTGGGTGTGACATGTCGTGATGTGACTTCCTTGGTGAGGCAGCAACTGACAAGCCCATGGGGTCAATGTGGCTTTGATGCAACGCATTTGTGAGGCGTTGAAAAGGTCCAATCTCATCAAGCCAAGCTGAACAGGGCAACTAGTGGACATGTTCATCATTTGCTGGGGAAACAAGAAGCTACTGAAGCTACTAGTAACAAGGGCATCGCTACTAGGAGCAAGGACACTACGAACGGGGCTCCTGGCCATACTACTAGGAGCAAGAAGCTACTAGTAACAAGGGAATGTCTTGATTGTTTCATGGGATTTCTTTCCCTGCAGTTCGTGTGCCGTCATGACTGACTTGACTTGATTCTTTCGAACTTGAACCGGTTGATGACCGTCAGTGCCGGTCTGATGACTTGACGGTCCTAGGTCTAATGAGTCTAATGTAGAGACAGTTGGGGCGGTTTGACGGCCGTGGCCCCGAGGTGGAGAGTGCTGAACGCTGCACTCCTGGCACGTTTTGTCAAATAGTTTTCACAGTTTGGAGGCTCGCTATGCAGGAGCATTTTGCAGAACCTCTTTTGCTAAATTTCCTGCCTTCACTGCATAAAGACGTGTTGCTGAACATGGGCAGGCTCCAGCATGAGGGACGGGGAACAGCGCTGCACACATTAAGTCGTTGTACATCGTATGCGTTCCTGTGCTTGTCGTTGATTCAGGGGCAGCTGCTCGGGAGTTGGACGTTGCTTGAGTTGGAGTCGGACACCTCAGTTAGTCAGACACCACGAAGGACCTGCAGAGTGGAGATGTTCAGGCATGACAGAGGAAAGGACACTATGGCATATGGTCTAATTGATGTCAGACCTATCACCTCAAACCAACCGATGAACGCCAAGAGTGCAAGAGGCCCAGTAGACAGAGATTCGGTGTGTACTTCTTGTTTGTGTTACCCGCTCCTACTGCATTTTCTTGCAAAAACATATTGCCATGTTTCTGTCACAAGATCGCGGCCACAACCTCCAGCATCAACTAGAAAGATACAAGGTTATCAAATGCATGAAGTGGTCCATTTGCAAAGATGCTGAATTTCTGAAGCTTTTATGTGAGATATAGAGGAGTGTTGATTAACGCATTCAACATGCGAAAGGGTCATGTCGAACAATTTCCGTGGCTTTGGCTTTCAGAGGCTGAGCCAATGTTAGATTGGCGGGCCAAAGGGCCCGCAGGCTGAACATGGCTGAACAACCTGAGCAACACAAAGAACGGCACACTGTAGGAATACCAGCGCTTGAATGTTAGGCCCTTCACGTTGATAGCTTAGGTCCATTCGG